CACTATTCTCATTTTCAATATCTGAAAAATGCAGAGATGAACTACATTTTATCCAATAAAATTTGAATAAAAACAAAACCAATCGTTATTTTTCACAAATCCAACCAAGTCTAAGTTTAAAATTCAGAGATTTCTCGGCATATACATTTATTTTAGTCATTTAAATCGAATAATTATAAAAGAAAAAGCCAATCGTCGTATATACAATGTTATGCCCAATTTTTTGTTGTTGTTCATACTTGAAAAGGCCAGTGTAATGAATTTCTATTTATTATACAAGAGTTTGAGAACTGCATTTGGTAGCCTGTCGATCGTTCTTCTAACTGAGATTATTCTCACGCTAATATATGCTAATAATTCAGCTGCGATTATGAATCTTGATGAGCATTTATGTAGGCCCATTATCAGTAGCATTCGCAAAAAAGGATAATCACATCGTTTCTTTGTCAAAAAAATGAATTTGATTTCATCATGTAGATTCGAATATAAGTCAATCACTTATCTTAATGGAGTAGAATCTTTTTTGTTTGTAAAATTTGTGAGAAAGACTGAAGTTCATGATTTTTCTAGAATTGTCTGTATGATAATTTTCAGTCTACTATCATTCACAACGCTTTCATGTACTGATTCTTAGTATAACCTTATGGGTAAATGCATAAGTAGCTTTAGGGTATAATACTATTCTCTAACTTGGAAATTAAATTCCATTATTCAAATATTCTGTTTTCACGTCATCCACAGCGACCGAAATGTGACATTTTGTATTTTGGGCAAAATAGAATAGTTAAATAATTAAATAGTGAAAGTTCAATATTCCCAGTTGCATCTATTCAATGAAGAATTTCACTGTTAACTTTGACATACATGCACATATTTGAATTTCAGAGTATAAATCGTTATTCAAACTAGATTGAGGTTAATATTGTGAGTGCAATTAACTAAGACTATTAGTTAAACTCGCGATTTCTCAGCTTCCATTCACATACACTCGTACGGAAAGTTGGGAACGATATCACAGAGAAAAACAAACTCAATGAAGTAGCCATATTTGTTTGTTCTGCAGAAGGAAATACATATCTATTTCACACCCTTCTGTGGCATGTTGAGACATGTGTCGTTTCATTTACAATGTGATCAAAATGGAAAGTCAGTAACAGTACACGAAGAAATCAACTATGTCGTTTCTCGAAATTGTATAAATCGTTTGATATTAGGCGGAGAGAAAAATCTTCGTAATTTAATACAAATGAAATTAAAATTCAATGCTATACATAAAACGTAAACTTTGGGAGTAAATATTACAGAATGAACCGATATTCAAGAAAACTTCAATTTTCCGTTGTATCTTTGAATTGATTACATATTAATGTACATTTCAATTTTAAGCCACATAACATTATGATGTGGGCAAAACATTATATCCGATTGTTTATTGGGAGCATGAGTACATGTGGTAAGTTCTTCCGGTGGATACATATTTTTGATCGGCGCGCGGCGATTAATGTCTATTTATTAGTAGTTTCATAGTTTGTAGAAAAACAACTGAACATACTTACTGATATATCACCCTCATCTGCTACTCGTTTTTGATCATCAGATTCTGTGCCAGCAGGGTCTGTATTATTTTCTTGATTATCCTACAAAATAAAAATCAGTATTTAGCTTCTTCGAAACTGATCACACAGTAACTTACACTCATATTGCACAGTGCCACTTTACTCGTTTGTTTTCAATTCTAAAACAAGGTTTTGATAGATTGAACATAAAATAACTTTCTGTCATATCTGATAGTATACGTGAGATTTAACAGTACGCAATCGATCAGTCCCGGAACAATATTTACATGGAAAGATCAAAGAATTATTTTCTCAGGTCAATGATCGTATTAGGATGTGTGCAATTATTTCTTAACAAAGTATCTATTAATTTATTTGTTAATAGATATTTTTCTATACAGCAGATATCCTAATATGACTAAAATCCCTAGGCAAGATAGTGTCTCATGATAAACCACATCAATCGACCCAGACGGAATTAGTACGCAAATAAAGAAAATAAATATTGTCTACGAGGAAGAACAGAAAGAGGTAATCTGGTGTTATTCTCACAAAACTTTCGCTTATGAATATAAAACCTCACACTATTTTTTGCATGGATTAAATAGACGTGACACGCGATATTTCCAACAAACCGAGTTGGAATATCAGAAATCCAAGTACTTCAATACTCTTTCTCTAACGTAGGTGATATTCATAGAATTGTGTTTACGAAATATTTTACCATACAAATCATGAGTGGAAGCAATATTCTCACTCGACTATTCCGCGAAATTCACACATAAAACCTATACTCAAGTAGAAGCCATTAGTATGTTTGAATTTTATCAAATCAGTTTGAATTAGATGTCTACACTGAGATATTTTTGCCAACTTTCAATATCGATATTACTGTGAGTTCTTAACAAGTCGGGATTTAACATAAGTAAAATTGCAACGAATATACTACCACACAAAAAAGTTCGATTGCCTTGATCAGATCTGATGAACTATTATAGATCTCCGTACGATATTTCAAGGTTCATGGCGATAATTTATCTAATAAAAAAATCGTTTCCGATCTTTGAATCAAAGTTTTCACGATTTTCATATGTCATGATCTTACCTTTTCTCTATACAGTCGTTGCCAAAAGCGTTTATTTTATATTTAATAATTTTTATGTGAAATAATCATAGAATGTCTAAATTTTTGATCTAAATTTTGACTGATAGAATCAAGTTGAATTTAGAAAAATACATAGGTAAATCGACCACAAGTGATTGAGATCTTTTGTAAATTCGACCGACTTTGCCAACGTTCAAAGTCTTCTTAGCATTATCAAGTAGTCAATTAACTTCTTTAACCATTTTCCATCCACAGACTATGGACTTCTAATGAGTATAATTTATTTTGTCGGATTATAAAGAGTCCCACTCAATTACTAGTCTACTTAAGTGACAAATGATATGCTTTAGCACTTTTTAAACACTGAAATATTTTGTAATCCTTGAGATTCATCAGAATCTACCGGTACTGTCTAGATATATTCACTGATGGCTTGTTTTCCTTGAGAAAACTCGTAAACAACTATGCTGATAATAAATTATTTGAAGTACAAATTGTGCGATACTTCACGAAAATTGTTTTTTCGTTTTGATTCTTTCGTCTTTTATCTAAATATTCAATTTTTTAGAAAAAAATACAACGATATTTTAGCTATGGTAGCAACAAATCATTAGTTATGTGCCGATATTGATGGCACGCCTCGATGACTCTCCTTCCTCATCCTTCTGTTCTCTTTCCATTGTTCTAATCTCTCTCTCTCTCTCCTATATATACGTGTGTTATGTATGAAATTGTTACATTCTGAACATGTGAAGAAGCGAATAAACATTATTGCCGGGAGTGGCAGTAAGCTATTCCACCTCTATCCAGTTTGTCATTAACATATCTACCCAAATAGGGTTCCATATTTATCGTTACAACTTACAATGTACTATATCCTATTGCCAACTTCATTACCCAAACACTCAGATTTTTATACTTCTTTAGAAAAAAACTTGCGTATTTCATTGGAAATAAGAAAAAATTTCATAGGCCGAAAATTCATTGCAAACACTTTCAAAATTTGTATTACGCTTGAAATGCATCTTAACTGTTAAAATGCATTACCAATGCAATTAAAGCAGTTAAAAGATTTGAGAACATTTTCTTTCTGAATTCAAAATACACCAGGAAGAGTAGCATTGGATTCAAACTATTCTGGAAAATGTAGGCTCACTAATGTAATTTACGCTAAAAGCGATTATGGTTGACGCCAATGAAAAATTGCAGACACTGTAGAATTAATAAAAATCAAACAGTTTTTATTATTAATGGTTTCGTTTAAGTTTAAAAAACGATTTTGAAAACAATTTTTCTAATAAAATGAAACCTTCAGATTATTTACAAATATAACTGTCACATGTTCGCAAGTTGGAAAAAATGGTTGCTACCAATCAGCGTCAAAAACTAGAAACCGAATTTCATCTAACTCTATGGTATCTGTCAACAGAATGAAACCATATCTAGCACATTTGTGTGCAGGCAAAAACTTCATACGCCCTTGTTCTCACATCTAGCTACCTACCAGTTGCATTCTCCATTAGTCACAGCTGTATCATAGTTACGTATTTATTTCGCCTACTTGTATTTAAATTAATCAGTGTTCTAAGATAGAGATATACCCAAGAGTTGATTAATTTCGATTTGTTGAATAAACAATATTATGACATCCCTCTTGAGTTTGATTACAAGATACTATGAATAACATGAATACTAAGCCTGAAAGAGACTAGTTTACTTGTTTGAAAAAAATCAATCCTTTTATTATTTTTAACAAATCGTTTGATTTTTATTTTTGGATGTAAATTCGATGTAACTACAAGCTGAAAGATTATGAGACAAACTGCACTTTTTCAAATTTGAAAAGAATATAATAATGCCCATTATCTGTAGCAGTATCTCTTTGTTCATATACTATCATCTGCATTAAACATACTGAAATCAATAGTGGTTTTTGTACTCTACAGACAGTGATATAATTTAGTGAAAAATCCAACACAACGAATAGTTCAGATCGAGTAAGAAAATGAATACTTCCTCATCGTTTCATCTATTTTGATAATTACTTTTTGAAATCTGAATTAAAATATAAAATTCGCTATTTTGTTTTTGCAAAAATCAATACCAAGACTTAGTTCATGATTACCCCAAGCTTATGGCCATTTGCTACAATGTTTTTATTAATGATTGTTATAAGCGCATACTGTATGAAAAATCATTTTGCATAGCCCATCACCGATGTATATATATATATATATATATATATAGTAAAAGAGTAGATCTTTCTGATACAACGAACAAGTGAAGATAGTCAATACGTTTGCAAATCTATATTCGAAATAACAACATAACAACGGAAACTACAAGTCAACGTCTTCTGTCAGCGTTTTCTTCAATAAAAAGTCATCTCCGAAATCGTTAGTACCATTGACATGCGTATTCTTTTTCTTCTTTGGACGGGTGAATGAACTATAAAAAGAGACAATTATAATAATGAAATATGTGTTTCAACTTAGTTTACCAGGCAAGTCCCATTCGTTCTACATCTTCAATCGTTTGTGGTAATGGTTTATCGAGTGTTTCTGGAAACACAGTAGCAAGAAGCATCGCAAATAAACTAGTAATTCCATAGATAACAACGGGAAAATGTTGCCATGCTCGAGTCTAAAATAAATAATACGATGAAGAACTTAAAATTACAGAAATCTACCAAATTATCATTAGAATATGTTCCCATAATTGCTCCTACACGAGCAATCATAGAACATACACCCATGCCTGTATTACGACCTTTGGTTGGAAATGTTTCATTTGCATATATATAAATAATTACATATGAGCCTGAAGCAAGAAATTTTAGGGCAGCATTCACTGTAAACATGAGATAAATTTGATCTAAGATAAAAAAATTAAAATTTAGCTAAATGAATTTCATTGAATTTATGAAAATTAAATACATTTGCTATCTTTTGGCACAATCATTTGAATTGGCACGACTAGTATTGTTGTGCATATCAGTGCGAATACAAATAAACAATATGTTAATTTACGACCCCATCGGTCAAGTAATAAATGAACAGCAAAGTAAGCAAATAATTCAACAAAAGCACTAGTGCCAAACCCAATATACGGATTGTTACTCCACTTATCTAAAATTATTAAACATTTAAATTTTGTCAATAAAATGTATCGTATTAAATTACCAGTGCTCTGTGAAGTACCATAAAAGACAAGATTCTGTACGAACCTGATGTGAGACAAAGTATTAATTATACAATATTATACAGAAGTTTTTATTTATATATTACCATTGATACGACATATTCACTGCAATTATTCCCATTACTTTTGAACGAAATAAGGCTTTAACTCCATGATTCACCTCTTGGCTAGCAGCTACTCTCTGTTACAACATAACATAAATATTTAGCTGCGGTTACTCTCTTATCTGTGTGTTTACTTTTCTGTCTTCTCTAACAAAACGTTGATAAAGTACTGGATCAAAATGTGTCTTATTCTTTTCAGCAATGTGATGAAAAATCAATTCAGCTTCATCATAACGTTGTTCAGAGACAAGCCATCGAGGACTTTCAGGCAAAATACTATTTATCAACAGTAAATAATATATACTAGAAGAAAAAATAAATCGAATAGAAATAACTTACAAATAGAAAAAAATAAATGGTACAGGCACAACAGCGAGAACTGCATTCAACGTTCGCCATGTTCGAATGGTTACAGCAAAACTTAAGAGTAATAATTCACCCAATGCAAAGAAATATTTAATCACAATACCAGCGAATAAACGCTGTTTTGAACCAACTAACAATTAAAGAAAATGCATTATTCTTGATGACCAATCATCATAATATTTTTTGTGTTAACTCACCTATTTCTGAACCTAAAATATAAAAATAAAGCAAAGTATTAGTAAACTTTGTACACAACTAATAATATGATAGAAATTTTTATTATTCCTTATATATACGTATATGTATATACATGTATTGTTTTTGACATGAACACATACCGATGACAAAAGCAGTAATACTAATTCCACGTGTTGCACAAGCTAGTAAAAATCGACCTAATGCAAAAAAATGGTAACTTGTTCCACGACCAATTAATTCTTCCGGTGCCAATGCACATATGATGCCAGCAATAAACATCAATACAAATGAAACACCCATGATAGGTCGTCTTCCAAATCTATTAAATGAATCGTCACTACTAGTATGAAAGTTAGAAAACAAAAGTATTTACCTGTCAGAAAGGATACCAAAGAGAAGTGAACCCACCATATAACCGAAAAAGAAGACACTTTGAACATTACTCTTTAATGATACTTGATCACATACCATAGACCACTAGAAACAATCAATATAATAATAAATAAAGTCATATTAGAAATTTATACATCTACGTGCTATTCAATTTTCTAGTGCAAATATTATTAGAACGATCTTAAAATCGATATATAATAGACTAATTGATTTCACATTTAAATGCGTTTCGTGAACTATTGCAGTGAATGCTTTATTAACATACTTCAAATTTACTTACATGTTCTACAAGCGTTGATTCATAATAAGTTCGATTAAAAGTAAAATTTTGGCAAGCAGTCAACTCATTGATGCTACCATAACTATTAGTAGTATTAGCCACGTAAAAACATCGTTGACATTCTTTCAATGATATTCTTTTGTGACTTTCGCGACATTGAGCTGCTGTTGGTATAGATGAATAACCTAGTTCATTTGTAACATTATTCGAAGACATATCAAATGGTGGTCTACAATTGAATTGCGGACTAGCAGCTATGAATGTCCAAGCATAGACCATAATTGGTGGCAACAAATTGGTCAAGCATAGTAAAAAGTATTTGGTCTTTTGATACGGACCAAACACGCCAACCGTCTCATAGAAATCATCGAATTTCATTTTTCCTATTTGTGTATCACTACTGAAACATTGATAGTCGATATAATTAGACAAATATATGCTCAGGGACCAGTTTTTTACGCTTAGTCATATACTTGTTTCTATCTCTTTTCTGGCTTTTTTTTTATCATTTAATACCTCATAAGAGTAAGAGCGCTATTTGCTATCAGCTGACAAAAGATGCGCTCTTACTGATCATGTTGTTGATGTTTCATATCCACACAAAAAAGATATGACAAACCAGGACAGTTTTGGTCGAAGTCACATTATGTGCGATGCGTACATGAAAAGAAAAAAAGAAAAAGCGATATTCTTGTCCTTGCTCTATTCTTGTTCATATAAAGCACAAACAATCGATTCGTTTTTTTCCGTTTATCTTATACCAAGGTCTCTTTGACGCAATGTATGATATAATCGAAATACTTAGTAACCACGCGAGTATAATAATTCACGAATGGAAGTTCTCAGAAGTAAAGTATGCCTTATTTTGATCAATTTCGAAAACTTTTAATAGAATTCACACGGTATCGATCTACATCATTATCTTTATTCTTCATCAACCAGACTCAGCCTATATTTTTTATGCAAGATCTGTTTGTTGTCATTTTATTAAACAACAATGAATAACACGTGTGTTATTATGCCAACAAATATACTATATTTGTTATTTTTATCTTTGAACTTATCCTTTGATAAGAGTAAATCTTATCATTCTAATGCACTTTTCAGATTCTTTTTATGTCGTTGTTGTTGTTGTTGTTGTTATTATTATATTAAATGTTGTCAACGTGTCTTTATCTTCAAAAAATATTTTCTCGTTTATTTTACTTGCTTCCGTACTTTATACTCTTTTTGCACTTAACACCAGAGAAAGCCACGTCTTTTTGATACCAGTAATTTTATATATGATGAAAACAAATTGTTAAGCCTCAATAATGAATACTTGCCTGATGTAACTTGATAATCTGTTTTGAGGCTTATGTCACTCCTACTGTTAGTTTAGAAATATATTTCCAATTTTCTAGAATTAAAACTTTTATATTTTACAGATACATAGTTAAGTATTGATGTTTATTTTAATAGATCTTAATTAAATATTGTTAGATGGATGCATCGATCACGTCTAATTTATTGTCATTCGACATTAATTAATCTTCGTGTAAGGAATGTTCAATCCATTCAAACATACGTATACGTATCATTTAGTTATTACTGTATATTTGTGTAATAATCTTGCATATGTTTTATGTTATTTACAATCATTAGACAAAATCTATCATAGATACTTTAAATTTTTATATTGAATGTATTTCAATCAAATCTAATCATGTTATAAATAATTATTGAAATAATACTTGATTTGCAAATAAGAAAAATTCAATGATAAAAACGTATTGCTATTTAATACATATTCGTACTCTAAAACTTATTATAATGACTACAATATTTAGTTTACAAGTTGTAATTAATTTCTCATCATATAATTAGTGCCCTCTATATTAACTTTTGTTAGCCGAAAAAGAATTCAATATTTTCGACTCAAAATTGAAAAAGGAGTATCTGTTTTTCGCTAAGAATTATCAATTGTGTACACACTATTCTTTTATGATTTTCTTTTCAATATTCAAGGTGAAAATCATTTTTATTTATAATGATTTAGACAAATGATTTATCGCAACAATATATAACGTATAGAAATAGTACGGCATTTTAATAATAGAGAAAGATACGCCTATAACGAGTAAATTGTGAACGATTTTAAAAATATGCAAATACTAATTATACTTCTTATATTTTCATATTCATTTTTATCATTTACATTGATGATCAGTATTGATATGATTGATGCATCTTTTCTTTTAGTATCACTTGGCAAAATTCAGAAGAAATAATGAACGAATTGCGAATACTCTGCTAACTGCTTTATAGAAAAACATTTAAATACTTTCTTTTTGTTGGACAACAAATTTTCGAAAAATAGTTGTCCTTTACTTTGGACTTCTACAAATAACTTAAGCAACTCTGATATTAATCGACGCATATGAAACTCTAATTTCGATATGTGTCTGTTTGAGTATTATTAGGGGCAATAAATCAATCATGCCTACTCAATTGAATTTAAGACTAACGCTTCGATATGATTACAATGAATTTCTGTTTATGAATGCTTAGCTGAATGAAACTATATCAAGCTATCAACAGATATACTTAGTAACGGCAACTATTACGTTAGTTGATCTGTGTTTATGTATCAAAGTTTTATGGAAATGAATCTAGCAACACTAAAACGTGTAGTTTAAAAAAATCTACTACTGTATTATTATTCTGGTTGATCAGTGTGTGGTATAATCTCATCTTTTATTTTTATTATTGCTAGTAAAATATCGAAGAAAGACGACAGTGTATTATCACTCCGATTATATATATCAGTGGCTAACTATATTTTTTTCTAGGCAGATCTGGTCTATTTTTTTCGAAATACCTCTTAAAAGCCAATTTTAAAAAACAAATGTCAAAACAACATCGATAACTTTCTTAGTACAAAAAATAAATATAGGTTTAAACATAATTAGCACACCAATAATTCTCTCAATTCGCTTATACATAATTTGATCATTTTTATTACATCAAATCTATGATGATATTGCAGTAAAAAAGTTTATGTTTTAGAAAGCAACAGTATCGCACACTTATGTTAAAAATTAAAAATCTAAAAGAAACCTATGATCAAATGAAGCTGAATTGGTACCTTGACTCAGTATAATTTACAAACTGATCTATTTTTTTACATTTATTTTAAGATTTACAATCGACTACAACAGGCTAATATGTGATACTACAAAGACTAAATTTTATCAGAAACTCAACATGACAATTGAATGCACACTTCCCACTATAGATAAGGTTTATAAAGTTTCCTGGTGTAGCTATTCATACTCGGTAAATAATGAATGTTGAAGATAGAAAAATAATTTGATGAACTCATTCACAATATTTCATCTAATATGACAAATTAATTCGTTTTCAACATGAACTCGAAATTAGGGGTGAACCATTTAGGTTAATGCGAGTATTAATTAACGGTGTTAATTAACTAAAAGCGTTAACCGTTAATATTAACGGATTCATGCTTTGAGCAAAACCGTTAATTTTAAATTAACGTAAACTTACCACCCCTACTCGAAATCGTATATAGATGAATTCTAATTGATCTGAATAAACAACTCGTATCTTTGAATTTATACCTAAATTTCTATGTAGGAATCTTTGAATCATTTTGATCAACATTCATATATTTGTTTATTACTGTTTTCAATGTGTATTATTCATTGAATAATTGTTCAAAGTCTACTTTTGACACCCTTTTAACTGGCATCTTAATGCTCGTATCTTTCTTTGCCTATATGGAAAGAATCAGTTTTTCTCTGATAAATTGATTTGAAGAAAGTTACTCTTAGTGTCAATACACTTGAGAATTCGGAAACGCTGACAAGAGATCTGTAATTCATATAATTTCATTAGATAAGTCTTTCTTTCATGTTATTAAACAAGTTCTTGTTAATAAAAACTTCGTTCCACATATAAATACATTGAAATTTCAGTGATAAATGTCAAAGATCTACATGACATAGGATATGTTCAAAAACAAAACTCAGTTACAAGCCATCTGTTACATCTAAGTCACATGGCACTATAGTTTTATTTAATTTTTTACGATATCTTAAAAATGTCTCTATACATATGTCATAGTAAATTGTCTTCGAAGATTTGTTCTTCTTCCATCGATGTTACTTGATCATTCCTATCCAGATTATCCCTGGAACTATTTATTATTCTTATAATTAATATGTACACAACAACATATCCATTGTATGTGTATGGGGTTCAAATACATCAAAGTTATTTATCACAAAAGAAAAAGAAAAAAGAAAAACGTTTCTAATAAAGTTGTTAAAAATACGTAAATCGATATCTATTTTTATTATTGTTTGACTTAAAACTTCTTGCTTTAAGATTAAGATAGACAAGCAATTTATTGACATTAGTTTTTGCAAACTCAACATATATGATCAACAACAGAGTTTTTACTCCAAAGTACTCAAATCATGTAATTCAACAATATCAATGTTTTCTTGAAATGTAGTGCATTTTTACATAATCCATCATTGATGATCAAATAAATCATGAACTCCTATAATTATATATGGACAAGTCGAGATGAGTATTATTGTAATGAAATGGGATTATTTTAAATAAATATAATTCGAAAGAATCACATAGACAGTATGGCCGAGCGGTCTAAGGCGCCAGTTTCAGGTACTGGTCACTTGTGGCGTGGGTTCGAATCCCACTACTGTCAGGCTTCTTTTTGAGCTCCTATAAAATAACACAAAGAACAGAACGAGAAGAATATTTGCTAATAATTTACCACCACAGTTTTTTTTCTATTTTTTTCTTTTCTTCCTCTACAAATAGTCGACAGTATGAATGTCTCGTAGTTACTCTCTTCAACATTCTTCGTTCCTTCGCAAAAAAAATGTATATGAGTAAGATCTCAAAATAACAATGGTTATTTTGTCTGGAACTCAGCTCTTGAAAAATAGATATTAAACAGAACGCAAAAGAAAAAAAACTTGTGGATATTTAAATACTATTTTATTACTATACAACAATCTAATTCATGTCTAATATTTACGAAATTTCATGCTAATTACTGATCTATGTAGTATAAAGTTATAGAAAAAATAATATAACTCTATCCTTCGATATACGCTGAAAGAAAGTTTGAAGTTTTATGAAAGCCTATCGACATATTGACTAAATATGTATACTACAACGTAAAACATTGTTTTGTTGTATTATTGAAGAAGAAAATTTCATATTGAAAATATTAATCAGAGATTTGAAACATTATGATTTGTCTATGTAATTATGTACATCTAGATAGACATGTAGTATTAATTAATTGCGCAATAGTGTTGATCAAATTATAAAGGCAC